GGAAGCGCGCGCGCGGACATGCCTGAAACCTGGCCGACTTTTTGGATGTGTTTTTGAAGAGCTCTACATATTGAAGCGAATAGCGGAACAAGGTTTGGAAGGATTGAGGCACGCGCGCGTGTCGGCGCGCGCTCGCGTGTGGCCCGCGTGGTATCATTTGATACGGATTCGTGCACCGGGCGCATCTTGGATCAACGCGGATGCGCAGCGCGGTAGTTAAGATGAGGACGTGGGTTCTGGCCGAGATTGCCAAAATCTGCCAACCCTCTGGGCTTGTGTGAGGGGCTGTCCGTTCGAGTCGTCGGCTCCGTTTTTGTAGTCGTCGTCTCTGTCGTCCCCTTTCCCTGCGCCCCCCTTTCCCTGGGCCCGTCGCCGCTCCCCTCCCTTTCCCTGGGCCCTCCTCAAGCGCTGGGCCCGTCGCCGCTCCCCCCCCTTCCCTCCTGCTCAAGCGCGCCAGCCAAAGCAAAATTGAGCAACGTCGTAATTGACTCGAAAGGAAGCCCGTTCCCTTTGATCCCTCCCCCGCCGGGAGGGGGGGGGAAGGTCTTCGGGGAGGTTCGGGGGGGGTCCCAGGGGGTTCCCGGGTCAGATCCGACTCCCCCCCAGGGGGTCCCGGGTCCAAAAAAGCCCCAAGACGGGCCACCAAGTCGGCTCAGGAGGCCGCCAAGGCGGCTCCAAGAGGGTGCCCAGACGAGGGACCAGAACGGACATTTCGAGCCCTCGACCTTGAGAGACTCCCAGGAGGAACTAAGAGGCCCCAAAGAGGCCCCAAGAGGCCCCAAGAGGCCCTAAGAGGCCCCAAGAGGCCCCCAAGAGGCTCCCAGCCCCGATAGGCCCCTAAGAGGCTCCCAAGAGGCCCCCGAGAGGCGCCCAAGAGGCTCCTAAACTTACCCCCAGAGGCCACCGAGAGCAGAGACCCCAATGATCATCCATGCGGACTCTGACCACGTCAGCGTCGTCGTCGTCGTCGCCGCCGGTGCCGTTGTCGTCGTTCCCCTTCATGGTCGGCGGCACCGGCCGTAACGCTTTAGCAATCAAATGGGCTTCCCCTGATTTCAGCACATGCGCGCGGACATTATATTTTGATACGTTTATCTATATAAGCACGCACATACAGGCATACATCCATGCATGCATGCATGCATGCATACATTACATTACAATCCATCCCATTACATGACATACATTACATTACATACATGTCTTTTATATGTGTACACACATATTTGTTGTGTGTGTAAATACACATACTAGATGCGTTACGTATACTCACGTAAATTCACACAGCGGGTATGTTTGGTATGAATTCGAAGAATACGCGCGCGTTTGGGCTGTGCGCAACGTTTGCAGAGGGTTATTGTAACATGATCTCTTGTGATAAACGAGTGTGCGCGCATACTACTATTTGACAGGGAACGTCGATACCGGTTGGCCTGGGATAGTGTGAACTCATATATGGAAAACGAGGGACGAGGCAGCCCCGGGGGGGAGAGGGTGGGGGAGAGAGTGGAGTAATCTATTCTTTTTGAAAAGAGAGCTCGCCGTGGACATCCGCGTGTGACCACCACACATGCTTCAACAAACATGCCACCACACACCCGCAACTTGTCGGCAAAACTCAGGAGGCCGCGAGTGCAAGTTGCCCCGACTTTGCCGTGCCCCCGTGAGGTCCAGGGGAGTGTTGCCCTACACTCATACAGAAATATCTCGTTCGCCTTCTCTGGGTGCTGCCCAGTGCGCAGATATCGCCATTTTGCTGCGTCCCTGAAAAGTCCAGCGGAAAGGTGTCTTACGCAAATCAAGATATGTCCCTCGCCCTTAGGTGCTGGCGTGGGCGCAGCTTCTGCAATTTTGCTTCTCCCTGTTCTCTACGGCGGGGTGACGCGTTTAAGCATTATCCCGGCGAAAGACCCAACAATATGCAATTGTGAATATCGCAGTTGTTGGTATCGACTGTGGTGGATCTCCATGTGGGGCCACGAAGCTTCTCAAGGGTGTGCCGAACTGGGGCCTTGGTAGACCCCCCACCCTAGTTGGGCCACGAAGCATGTGAGGGGTGTGCCGACATGGGGCGTGGCCGCCATGCGAACGTCGCCACTGGGGCCTTCGGTGGAGCTCCCTATGGGGCTACGAAGCGTGTGAAGTGCGTGGCGGACGCATGCGAATGTCGCCAAAGGGGGCTTTCGGTGGTGCTCCTTCTGGGGGCACGAAGCGCTGTGCTGGGCGGGGCGGACGCGAACTGAGCTCTTCGGTGGAGCTCACTAGGGGGGCACGAAGCGCTGTTCTGGGCGGGGCGGACGCGTGCGAACGTCGCCACTGGGGCCTTCGGTGGAGCTCCCTATGGGCCCACGAAACGCTGTGTTGGGTGGCGAGGACACATTCGAACGTCGCCACAATGGCCATCGGCGGAGCTGCCTATGGGGCCAAGAAGAGCTGTACTGGGTGGGGTGGGCGCATGCGAACGTCGCCACGGGGGCCTTCAGTGGAGCTCCCTGTGGGGCCACGAAGCGTGTGACGAAGTGGTTGACATGCGGAGTGCACAGGAGGAGGGAGGAGGGGGAAGAGGATGAGGGGGAAGAAGAGGAGGGAGGGAGACGCGGGGCGCTGTCTCTCCAACGCGAGGACACAACACCAAAAGATGATTCGGAAACATCGGAGGTCATCAGTTTTGGCGCGGACACTAAAATTTTTGGGCTCGGGGGCGCCGACACGTTTCAAGAAAAGCTTGCGTCATATTTCGCGGAGTGATGTCCATGATTTTACTCACTTCCGTTGAATGTTGCTTACGCGGCGTCGTTTCTTTTCGGGAGCGCTTGAAATCTGCCGCGCTTTCGGCGCGCGGGCGCGTCGACTCGAGGCCCGCCTTCGTACCGCTTAGTGCGCTTAGCGAGTATGGTACGGCTGGAAACATTTGCATGCCCACGCTCCTAGCGCACGGCGCAACAGGCTCACTTGGCGCACCCGATACAACATGGCGCGCTTGCCTCACTTGGCGCACCCTTTAGCGCACCTGGCAATTATTGCTGCACCTGGGTAGTGGCGTTGGCTTGCTAAACGGAAGCCAAGGGGGCGCCTTGCTCAATGTGCACGAACCACTCCGCTTCAAGGACGTATTCGAACTGGAAGGAGCAAAAACCGAGCGGTGAGAGATCCCCGCGATTGCGATAGAACCTCTGGCGTGTTCTGTTCCCGACGCGCTGGGAAATTCCATCATGCTGGCAAAGACATCCCGCGGAAGCTCTCCGTGCCGTGCCGCTGTCGATCCGATTGGAATTCCAAGTGGAATGCTGGGGCCCAGGGGCTTCATATGCGGGGCCCTTCGTCGGCGCCGGCGTCCTCCCCAAGAAGCGTCGCTGGGGCGCGCTCGAGGCGGCACCGCTCCAGTGGTGCGCCGGCCGCATCTTCCCGGTAGTTGTAGATGACGTAGTTGCCATGCGTGTTTTCCCAGTTGGCAATCAACTTCCACTTCAAGTTCGAATCACCCCTGCGAGTTCGACCCTTGCAGGCTCGCATCGCCCATCGAATCGCCGATTGGCAACTCAAGGAAACGTGGCAACGAGGCAGCAACCGGCTGCCGAGGCCGGCGCGCGGGCCCCGCCCACGGACTGCAGCTGCAGCCCAGCTCCCTCTCCCCCCCGCAGGCTTCGCGTCGGGGCCGAGGACAACGATGAGGTCTGTTTCCACGAGGGGTGAGCAACACGTGTCGGGAACAAGTGAGCAACACTCACGCGTAACAAATGGTTTGAACTCCCCCCCTCCCCCCGAATGCAATGCTGGTTTTGGACCTTCCGAGTTTGAGTGTCCGAGCGGTGATGCGTAACCGTGCCAACTTTGAATTGCGGGGGAGGGGGGGAGTGTTGCTCATGTGCTTCCCTCGGCCAAAGGTCTGATCTCGACGGCTGCTGGGGTGCCTCGGGTCGAGCCGGTGATCAGTGGTATCTGTCGATCGCCTGGAGACTTCCAAGCAGCTCCTCCTCGCATGCCCCCAATACCAGCTGGGGGGGGAAGGAGTGTCGAAGCACGCATTCCAGGGCCCGCCTAAAGTGATGATGTTGTCGATGTGCGGTACGGTTGGGGGCGTTCATGTAATTAGGGATTGGAGGATCCCTTGTCTGATGAGTGCGGCCGAGATGTTCATGGTCAAGCCTTCATGGGTTTTCTACCAGCTTTCGGCGCGTGGAAAAATCAATGTGGAAAACACACACAGACTGTGGACAAAAACAATGGAAAGAAAAACACACACACACACAGTTTGTGGAGAAAACACAAGCAGTGTGTGTTTTTTTCCACGCAGTCGGTGTTTTTTTCCACAGACGGTGTTTTTTCCATAGACTGTATGTTTTTCCCCATCGATTCCCGATCCAAGGGCTCCCTCACCGTAGCGATTCCGCGCTCGCGATGCGATGGTTTCCATAAATGCCCCCCCCGCGAATGCTTCGAGCAAGCTTTATGGACTCCCCTGGCCCTCAAATCTCAGTGTTCAGTCAGCCGCGCGACGCGGCCTTCAGGATCCGAGGAAAAATCGGATGTACCCAGTTTGGGCGCGAACGCTGAAATTTGGGGCTCGAGGGCGCCGACGCGTTGCAGGAATAACTCGGCTTGGATTTCGTGGAGGGAATGTGGGATTTGTAGCAGAGCCGGATTCGACAGCAGCTTCTTCTTCAATGAGGGGCTGAGGCCCAGATCGAGTGTCGAACCTCAGCGCGCCGACGGCACATAGATAATCGTACCGCCGTTGCCAGAAGAAGGCAGCGGCTGATGATGATGGATGGTGGTGATGATGACGACGACAACGACAACGACAACGACGACGACGACCACGACGACGACGACGATGAGGGTGATGATGATAATGATGATGATTAGGATAATGCTTGGTGACGGGGATTCAGACGCTTAGTCGTCGTCGTCGTCGTCGTCGTCGTCGTCGTCGTCGTCGTCGTTGTCATTGTCCTCTCCCTCATCTTCGTCAGATCAGCACGAGCGGCCGCGCAAAAGGCCTCTGATGCCAACTCCAAACACCTCCGCTTGTAGAACGACAGCTGCGAAATGCCGTCTGCCGTGTGGCCCGCGGCTTGAATGTTGACGCCGTCTGCCGCCAAGCAGCGAAAAGGGATGCGGGCGCGGGCAAGGAAACCAGAATCGCGTGCAAGGCGATTGACAAGGAGAATAGCGCCCAACTGAACTCTTCTGCCCTATACCCACCCCACGTTTGCCGCACAACTACCTCAAATATCGCAGAGCGGTGCGATAGCCACCCCTTAGCACAAACTGGTAGTTGTTGGTTGGATGTCTACTCGAGATTTCCCGATAACCCCACACCCCACAAGTTTAGCTATTCTATACGTACACTGGGGGTGCAGGCGCACGAAACCCTGGCAAGAAACCCAGCACTGAAAATCCGTCAAGTTTCTTGTCTAGGGTGTGGGTTTTTCAGCCCGGGGCCCCAAGCGAAGAAACCAAGGGTACCCTGGCCCGAGCAGATCCTTCCAGGTCAGCAAGGACATTTTGCGAGCAAGCTCTGAAAACAAACCCGCGGCTGCTCGAAGGATAAGCTGGAAGCGTGGCAACCTCCGCGCCGTAAGAGAGCACGTCGTCTCTAGAAGTCCAGAGCGACCTGGTGGGCCGTGGCAAGGCACCGCGCGCCGCAAGAACAAACAAAAATCTGGGGCATCCTGACGTACGGCAGCCGGTTTCTTGATGCGCGCCCCCACGGTACCTCCTCCCACAACGCCGTCCCATACTCACTCCCCGACCCACACTAACATCTTCCAATCCTCATTGAGGGTTCGCCAGGATCGTGCCAATCTGATCTAACTCCCATCCTATTCCAATCTCACGGTGTCCCGCCCTCCAGTGCGTGGACAGGACAACGCAACTTATCCCAAACGCATCAGCCGCAAACAGCCAGACGTTTCCGATCTCTGCAACGTCCCCCCGCCCACATTCCAATCTTGAGCTGCGCTAATTGTGCTCCTGGACCCGGGATGTCACACCGAGGCTACCAGTGGATTGTAGGGGGTGGGAATCGCGCACCGAGGCTGTTTGGCAATCTGGGTCCAGCTGCACATGGCATGCATCTGGTTACACATGACATGTAGTATCTGGTCTTCCCAGCGGGCCTACCTCCTTCTGTCTCTGCCTCTCTTGGACGTGTCCAGCAGCCTACCTGGGTCGTGCCAGGGGGACGCGCGCAAGGGAGCGCGTCGAGGGGCGCGGCGGTCCCAGCGGCGAAGTGTCGAGGCTCGCGGCTGCGCTGGCGTCCGCGAGGTCCGAAGCTGCGAGGTCGCGCTCCTGTCTCGGCCCGGCGAGTTTCTCGTCGTCGTCGTCGTCGTCGTCGTCGCCGTCGCCGTCGTCGCCGCCGTCGTCGTCGTCGTCATCGTCGTCGTCGTCGTCGTCGTCATCCTACTTCTCGTCCCTCGGAGCACTCTCTTGGGCTCAGGACTTCCCGAGCCCAACTCAATACCTCGTAGCTCTCGGCCCTCCCCACCACCGTGAATTGGGGCGAAGATCGGAAGTCCCCTCCTTCCCCACCGGCTTCATCTCCTGCAGCTCCCCGCTCCTGCGCCCCCCCCCCCCGAAGCAAGTCTTTCGGGGTCTTCAAATCAGATCGGGCAAAAAACGTTCACGTGGGAAAGTGCTTACACTTAGCCTCGCGTGCTCCGAGCCAAACGGCCAGTGGAACCTCCTGCACCACGTCACGTCGAATGAGGTCAGCGCGCTCCCTCAGCTTCCACGGCCCTAACGCAGCCAGGGCGAGGCTGTGCTGCCTGATATACGATAGACCAAACGAATCAGCACTTCATTGCTCTTTGGGTGCTATCAGCGCTTATTGCATGTATGTTGAACGCTAAATCGCTGTCTTCAAGGATTTTGGTACAATGCCGTTCAACTCTACATGCCCCATCAGAATCCTGAAACACGCCTGAGTATACAATGCCATTGTAAATCTAGCGTTTTGTATATACGCATTTACACATCTCTCTCTATATATATATATAGATATGTCTGGGGATATATACGTAGATGGGCGAATAAAGAAATACTTCAATCAAGAAAGAGAGAAAGTGAAACAGAGAAAGAGAGAGAGAGAGAGAGAAAGGAGAGAGATCCGCCACCGTGCCTCCTCGGAGTGGGCGTGTTAGAATGCTCGCCTGTTGCCTGGGAGGTTGCTTATGTTTTCTAGGGCCGACCCCCTACTAGCGCGCATCGTTCTGAGATCGCCCCCTTGAAATTACTGCCTGGCATGTTTTTTCGACCTCCAGGCGGCTATGATTGCCTCCAAGACGGCTTCCAAAACAGCCAGGATGACACCCAGACGGCCCAAGGTGGCCCAAGCCCTGTCAAGAGGCTCCAATGACAGCCTCAAGGCAGCCCCAGAAGCCACCAAGACGGCCCAAGACGAATCTAAGAAGTCCTCCAAGAGAGCCCGAGGAGGCAACAACCATTACTTTTTCTTCGGTCTTTGAAGGATTTGAGGTTCTCGCCTGTTTGGGTTTGCAACTGCACAAGATGGCCCAGTATGCCTTCAGTACAGCTCCAACACAACCCAAGAGGCTCCTAAGAGGGCCCCAAGTCGGCCCGAAAAGACACCACAAGAGGCATCCAAAAGACTCCCAAAAAGCCCCCCGAGAGGCGCCACAATAAGCCCCAAACAGGCCTCAAGGGGCCACCAAGACGCCACAAGAGTCCCTGAAGACCGCCATGAGGCCCCAAACCCAAAACGCCCCAAGAAGCGTCCAAGAGGCCTCCACCAAGAGAGTGAGACACACATTTCAAGATACCCCGAGAGGCACCCAACAAGCATCTGGCCCAAATAGGCTCCCCGAGCTCTCCAAAACGTGCCGCGCTCCTACGATAAGGGCAGCCTCCCTGGGCATAGTTCCTGCAGGAGTTTGCAGGGACACGCCAAGCGTGAATAATTCAAAATCCTCCCTGCTACGCTGTTGCACAGGCGCGGTGGTGGGGTTTGATGCAGGAAGCCCTGTAGATATGTACACATACATGTACCGATATACAAGACTGCATTGGCGCTTCGCGCCATGCACCTTGGTCCCTGAAGTTTGGCACGCAAGCGGAATGGCAGGAAGGTCAAACAGACAATTTAGCGATAACTCCTTGTTGCCTTGTCCAGCATCGCCGCTATACTTATATGATTCGCTATCCTTCCTCCATGTTTTTTTTCCTCATTGTTGTCCTACCCTGCGAATTCTTCCCCATGCTCCTCAACTCTTTGTACGGCGGCTCCTCCTTGGAAAGCCTCTGGGGGCCTCAAGGACGCTTCTCAAGCTTTCTTAAGGGCTTCTGGAGGCCTCCTGGGCATCTTCTGGGGGGCTCTAGGGGCTTCCTCGGGCCACCCTATCTCCAATCGCGGTCTCCCTGAACGACTGGGTCACGATTTGGAATGCTTCGGAGGGTGTCTCGGGGCCATCTCGGGCCGTCATGAGGCTCTCCTAGGGTATCTTGGAACCCTGTTGTGCCGTCTTGGGGCTCCGTTGGACTGCCTGGGAAGCCCTTTCGGATGGTGTTGGGGCGGTTTTCGAACCTCCCAGGCGGTCTCGGACGCCCAGAAGACCGAAGAACAGAGCATTCCCAAACTCATGCCCAAACCCTGGACAAACAATGTTTTTCGGCGTTTCGGAAACCCCTTGGGGGTCTTCTCTTGGGGCCCTCGGAGGGGAGTTCGGCCACCCTCCTGACCGATTTGGGCCCAGCCCAGCAAGAGCTTCCAGGAACTCTAAAATGCCTGGGGGGCCTCCCGCAGGGGCGTCCAGGGGGTCTCCGGGGCCACGGATCTAGGGGGTCCAAAGGGTCCCAGGGGCCTGGGATTCGGGGGGTCCGATATTGGGGGGGGGGTCCCAGGTAGCAGAAATGTAGGAATGGGGATCCAAAGTGTGTTGGCGCTTCGCGCCATACACTTTGGCCTTTTGAATGTTGGCATGCAGGCGGAAGGACAGGAAGGCGAAACTGACAATTTAACGATCAATCCTGTTGACTTTCCCAACATTGTCGTTATAATAATGCTTTTCATTACTCTCCTTAATTTTTTCTCTTCCTCTTCCCCATTCTCGCCAGCGAATTCGTCCCCATCCTCCTTAGCTCTTTTTCTAGGGGCTCCTCCTTGGAGAGCCTCTCGGGGCCTCGCGACAATTTTTCACGGCTTCTTGGGGCTTCCTGGCCCAGAATCTGGGCGCGAACGGGCCCGTGAGATACTCCCCTGGCGCCGCCCCCTTCTTGGGGATGCGAAAGCCAGCGCCTCGCCTGGGACATCCTCAAGATCTGCTCCGAAAGCAGAGGATGTTGGGGCGGCATCGTCACCATCGTCATCATCGTCGTCATCATCGTCATCATCATCATCATCATCATCATCATCATCATCATCATCATCATCATCATCATCATCATCATCATCATCATCATCATCATCATCATCATCATCATCATCATCATCATCATCATCATCATCATCATCATCATCATCATCATCATCATCATCATCATCATCATCATCATCATCATCATCATCATCATCATCATCATCATCATCATCATCATCATCATCATCATCATCATCATCATCTTCATCTTCATCAGCATCAGCATCAGCATCAGCATCATGCTCATCCTCATACTCATCCTCATCCTCATCCTCATCCTCATCCTCCTTCTTCTCCTCCTCCTTCTTCTTCTCCTCCTCATCATTATCATCCTCTTCATCATCGCCGAGCGTGCGAGGCCAATATCATAACCATCATCATCACCAAGAGGAATAGGGGGAGGAGGAGGAGGAGGCGGTGTTCTCCTGCTCGGCGCGGTCGGAGTAATGATTATTCACTGCGTGGATCTTCCCATGTGTGCATTTATGTGCATGGACCATTATGCCGTGAGTGTCTAGGCGCAAGAGCTTTCGAATCTAAGCGGGCTTGGGTATTGACAGGCTGGGAGTGAATCCGGCTGCGAACGAGTTGGGGTGAATGCATCTCGTTAAATCGAGTGAGTCTATGCGCATGAGTCTGAGCATGCCTGAGCTTAGGATGAGTGTGTCTGCACGTCGGTGGCCTAAGCACGACTGACCGTGGCTGAGTCGAAATGGCTAAGCGAACCTTCCCTCCGTAATGAAGCAAGAAATCGGGGTGCTCATGTAAACGCCATGCGAAGCCCTTGCGCTTCATTGGTGGCAGGCCCAGCCATGGCTGGACCGTGCCACAGCCGGCCACGTCACGGAGAGGAGACGCCCCACCTATAAGAACATATGTCAAACACCTAGGACTTGAACCACAAAGGAGGGACAACATATAGGAACATCCGTACAGCACAAGAATTCACGCCGCAAGAGAAGCCCAACCTACAGGAACGGGCGAACAACACATACGATTGGAGCCACAAGGGAGTGGCAAGCTATATGAACATACCTGTACCGCCAAAGGCTCGTGCTCCAGGGGATGCACAATCTATGGGAACATACGTAAAACACTTAGGACTGGGCAACACGAGAGGGCAACTTATCGACAGACTCGTAAAACACCACGGATTGGCGCCCCAGGAGAGGCACAGTCTATAGGAACATATGCACCACACGCGTGGTTGGAGCCACATGGGAAGGGCAATCTGCATGAGCGCACGTAAAACACTAAAGGATTCGTGCCCCAACGGATGCCCAATCTATAGGAGCATAGCTAAACACAAAGGATTGGGACCACTCCTGGTGCCTCCCGGTGCCTCCTGGAGCCTCGTGGGGCCTCGTGGGGCCTCCTGGTGCCTTCTGGAGCCTCCTCCTGCTTCCTGGGGCGTCCTGGGGCCTCCTGGAACCTCTTGGGGCCTCCTGGTGCTTCCTGGTGCCCCCTGGGATTTCCTGGTGCCTCCTGGGGAAGATTTGTGCTCCAGGGGATGCCAGATCTATAGGAACATACGCATATCACCTTTAGGATTGGAGCCATAGTGGGATGACAGTGTATATATATGTATATATATATATATATATATATATATATATATATATATATATATATGAAAACACGCAAACATCAAGGATGCGTGCCCCAAGAGAAGCCCACTCTATAGGAGCACGCGGTCACCACATAGGATTGGAGCCACCGGAAAAGGGTTATCTGTAGGAGCGCACGTAAAGTACAAAAGCCTCGTGCCCCAGGAGAAGCTCAATACATATACGTATACATATATATATATATATATATATAGGCCTCCTGGTGCCTCCTGGGGCGTCCTATGGCGTCCTGGGGCATCCTGGAACCTCTTGGGCCTGCTGGGGCCTCGTGGGGCCTTCTGTGGCGTCC